ATACTACGGGTAGCTGGTGGCGGACGTCGTGACTTTGTGGCATAAGTCGCCCTCGGTTGGTCAGATGCCGCTTCGCTCGAAGACGTCTCCAGTTGAAAGGCCTGTTGAACTTGTTCCGAAACAATCTCGGCAATCAAAATAAAAGCTGGGCAACTGATGGCAGGAAGTAGCTTTCTGATCTTCTCCCGGAAAACGTTGTGGATGATGTTGCGGATGCCTGGGAGGCTGGTGTCGAAGTTGCAGCTGGACGACTCGAGTGTCGAGAGGCTGGGGAGTTATTGATAGTGACAGGCTCGGGCCTGCAGCCTTGGTGATATGAACCCTTGGACTGTTGTCGTGGGGTTGCGGACAAGTCTGCCGAAGGTGTTGTCCTTCGCACGAAGGACATGGGATTCTTAGCTTTTTGTCTTCTGTAGCATCAAGGTTGGTGTGGGTGTTCGATCAGGCGCAAAACATCCTCCACGAAAGCGGTGACGCTCTCGTTGGGGCCATGTACCAGACAGAATCAGGAATTTGGCTCTCTCTCGTCAACAGTGGCTGATGAACTTGCACTTCAGCTCGATGTTGCAAAATTCCCACGGTGTTAAGGAGGAATCGTATTCTCAAACCAGTGCCTGGCAGTTTCTTATGGGAGAAATATAGGTTCTGCAGAAGGTGGCTGTCTGTCCACCCACTGTGGCGGGCGACACGGTCATATTGTTCAATCCAGCCCTCGACGTCTTCATAACCTTGCGTGAAAGGGCGTCGAAGTGTGAGGTGCGACAGGCATGCAAACAATGGTGGGAGCGGAGACGGTTTGCTGCTACAGATTTGTCATTGTTGGCTTAGTCAGCTTCGATTTTTCTGGCAAAAGACACAATTCTGGTGGTTCTAGCTGGTAGCAGCGACTGGCTCGGATTTCAGGTTCTTCGTGGTGTATTTCCGAGGTTCGTTTTTGTGGTACTCGCTTGTGTTGCGGTTTTTCTGCCGGGCTTGGGTTAGAACTTAGTTCACGGCTCGCCGGGGGTTTAAGACGCGGGATAATCCGCCACCCTTGTCCCATTATTGGGAAACTCGGCCGAGGGGTCGACAGGGTGCACACAGAGTGAAGGGCTATGCTTAAAGTACCCAGCACCTCCACCAGAACATCTGATGACAGCTGAGGACGGCCTGGAACTTTCCAGAATAGTAAATAATGATAGAAGATAGAACTGGAGCAGGCCTCTGTGGCAATATAACAAAACTGGCACAAGAGAGCTTATCCTGACTACTAAAGAAGCTGCAACGCTTTAGTGGCATTCTGCCCGAATAAATCCTGTTCTTCGGGGTTTGGCGACTGCCGTGGGCGAACTGAAATGAAATTTGGGACCACTTTTCTGGGAATGAGCCGCTGCAGACTGTCGTCGCAAAGCGACGTGAACGGGAGGACTGGGCAGGTAACACGCGCGATGAAATGTCCATACAGCTTGTATTTCGCGTAACGAGTGTTGATGAAACTTGTGTCGACGAAACGTGCGACAGACAAGTGGAATCAATACAGACTACAACACCTGTTCTCCGTGAAAGTGCACGTCTACGCCAGAACAATTTAGGAAGCAGCACAACATCACCTAAAGCACGGCACGGGAACTACCAGCTTAAAGGCAGCTCCCCGGAGCACCGCTCAGCCAAAGTGAGCATTCGGTCATTTGAACGAAGCGGCACCACGATTGTACACTGCCAAGCACGACTCACGCCATTTCCGTCGCTAAACTGTTTATCCAAATATATTGCACACTCTTCACTGCAGACTTTGAAGATTCCTATGGTCAACGAGAGCACAGAAACGTCGCCTTAAAATTTATTTTAGCGGTATCCAAATCCATTCGAGGTCCGAGCAACGTAGGGCCGATTGTCTGTTTCGTGGCCATATCCCCGTCGATCATTAGCGAAAGGCACACCGTTCCTCCGTATTTTCACGTTACACCTACGTGAGGCACCACGCTGAACTCTGAAGTCGCTTTCGGCCGGCCCCATATGACGGCTTCCGCGTCTGAAATCAACTCGCCGAGACGATCGACAACGAACAAAGCATCCGACAAGCTCCGGCCAATGCTCCGGCCCAGCTGGGGTCAGCCGCTGCCTGGGCGCTGCCATCATCCCTGTGACGTCACGTGTTTGGTTTGGTCACATGACGAGTGGTCCAATTTGCGTACAATGGCAGCCGCCTTCTGGGGGTCACTTTCGAATGCAGACCGGAACCCCGGTTTATCGCTCTAAGCCCCTCAACGTCCTTGGTCATCCCGTCTGCTGCGACCGCAGAGTCTTTTGCATGACGTATGAGCTCGGTAACTGCGACTTTAAAGGGGCAAGGTAGCGAAATCGGCGCCTGGAAGCCAGATGCTTTATTGTCGCAATGAAGTTTCGGTGACAATAAAAAATTAGGCATAAATTTTACTTGGTGCCCTTGAACAAACGTACTATCTCGGTGCTGGCACACCGAAACTATTACATAGTACAAAGTAAGCATAAAAGCTGAGAAGGCCTAAACAAAAACAAAATTAATACAATGACTATTGCACACACATATATGCACACGCTCGAACGCACTCGCTATTGCGCACCAATAATATTAATAACTATAACGTTTTATTTGCCTCGTGTTCCGAAATGACCATTTGATCTCAGTATCGTGGCACATACGGCGAAAACTACGAGATGACATACTGCCCCATTGCGATTCTACACGAAAGTTAAATGAAAGGTCTTCACGACGCGCTGTTCATGAAGGTACAGTGCCATATACATCAACAGTTGTCGGCAGGTAAGTGGAGCGGACGGAATTTTAGGTCAAATGCAGTAAGTTGAACCTCGATTTCGTACTTATAAATGGTCGAATAACCGGAATCTAAGTGAGAGTGCATGACTGTATCTCGGTGCGTCGGTGGCAGTCCTTTTTCCGAGCGACACAAAAGCGAAACAGTGTAAGCTGCACGCCCTTATACGCGTCCCTTCAGATCCGGGGTTTCCAGGCCGCTTGGGGAGGATGTTTCGCTCTAGGCGCGCTGTCTAATGCAAATGAGCGGAGCAGAATGGGATTTCATTGTGTATTCTTTGCTTTAACCTACACCGCGATGATTAAGCTCTTTGTTCAGCAGCGTTAAGTGAGAGCAGAGGCTGCGGCCGTGAAGACCAAATCATTCGGGACAACCCGCAAAATTAGAATTCCCAATGTAGGTACCTACCTGACACTGGGAACGCCAACGTAGTTTTTCAAGAAATCTTATATCTACTTTTTAGAGCTGAACTCGGAGGTACTGAAATATTTTTCGGTATATCTTGCAAATACATTAGATCTAGAGTATTTGCTACTTTAACTTAATCATACTTGTCAGTATCTTGTACTCAGTACCTCAAATGCATTTTTGTTTTACGGGTGCACCACAACTGAGCGCAAAATCGATGCGATCTCAAACTTGAAACGGAGACAACCGAACATTGAAGAGGAAACAATCCAGGACCAAAAGTGCAGACACAAAATTCCAACAAAATAATAAGTGGAAGGAAATGAGAGGGCACCAAGAAAGATTTATTTATTAATTTTGCTTTTTTATCTTTGACCTCTCTAAGGGGAGCATGCAAGTTACTTTCAGGAACTGTCTGTGGGGAACCGTGATAGCCCGACACTTTCATGAGGACAGAGATTGTAATGCCAAGGTAGGAAACAAGCTACGAGAAGGATGAGTTATATGCCGAGTATATATGCCGAAAATAATTAAGTAGACCGCAACCGCAAAAAATAGAGTATAGCGCTTCTCCGTGTTCCCTTCTAGCTTCCTCTTTAAAGTTTGGTGCTGCGTAAAAATTAATCTACCTGAAGAAGGCTCGGCAAGTCCCATGCCCACGTAATACTAAACCTGAGCACTCCTAGTTAATCGATTCATTGTTTTGCGTATAAAACTTTTGTGGACGTGAACTCCGGATATAGCGACAACTGCGGTAAACGGTGGGTTCAATGTTCGTATTAAAGAACGACCAGAAAATGGAATTTTTAGTGATGTGTCTAGGTAAAATTACCTTTTTAGCTCATTGTTTTTAAAATATCATCTTCTAACATGCGCCATTGATCCCAGTACTTATTGTACTGCGCCTGTATGGAATAAAACTGCAATCATATTTGTTTCCTTTTGCTGCTTGAAAACTAAGCATTCCATTAAATGACTGAATCCAATAGAAACTTCGCAGTGCGGAAGTATCTTCAAAACTACTTGTATCGATTTTCTAGTTACTTGTAAGATATTTTGCTGCGAGAATAACTTGGGTAGTACATTAAATACTCTACGAAGCCGGTATGCAGTAACTTTTCTTAAACACGTTTTTCGCGTATCTTCATCAGAATAAATATCGCCATTTTCCACATCAATTGACTATAAAAATCTTGAGTAACTCCTTGAGGGAAAACGACATCGGGTGTTTTCCATTACCGAATTATAAATAAAATGTACTCCCTCCTTACAAAAGTTCTAAAATATTCATTCATGCTCCGCTATTCGTGTGTATATTTTTAATTCGAACAAAATAATTTAAAAAGGAAGGTGCGTTTTACTCCCAAGGGGAAATAATGTAGGTGGTTACTCGTCACGGTAAGAACAAACACTAGAAGAAATTTCGTAATTACACTTTTTTCAATTTGGAAAAATCAACGTAAGGTTCGAAACAGAATGCTGATGAGCGTCGTCGAAAACCACTAATGCAGTCACTTTCAGAGTGACTTGAAGCACGTGGGAAGCACGGATTTGGGCTACAGTGACTACTCGTGCAAAGGCGCAAGGCTGGCGATTCTAAAACACAGACGACAACCTTGTCATTTCTCTCTTTGGACCGCCAGCCTTGTGCTTGCTCATTCTAGCCCGGTGGATGTCCATCATGTTTGCCGCTGTTTGAGCGGTTCTGGGATGCCTAAAGGATGACGGTTTGCGCAGGCCTTTCTTACTGAGTGCAGCGTTTCCGTCGCGTTTTTCAAACATAAATATAAAGCAGTCATGGCCCTGAACCTCGATTATAAAAGGCCCGCTCGTACCTGTGACTCGCACAAGCTGGTGCACATCTGCCGCATACCGTTCTTGTGGTTTCGCGCGCCCTGATTCTAAACCGTAAATCCAAGCGAGTATTCTCTCCGATTCCCGAATCATAGCGATGAACAAGTTTCGTCTTGCCTTGCTACAACTTTCGCTGACGCCAAACATTTCAAAAAACCTCGAAAGGGCCAGTGAGAAAATCAGAGAGGCGGTGTCTGCGGGAGCGAAGATTGTCTGCCTTCCAGAATACTTCAACTTTCCGTACGATCCGAAGTACATCGCTAAGTACGCCGAGCCGATTCCCGGAAGGACCAGTGAGATGCTGTCACGCTGGGCCAGTGACAACCAGGTCTATCTTATCGGCGGAACATTGTCGGAGAGGGAGGATGACAAACTCTACAGCACCTGCTTGGTCTGCGGACCGGACGGTTCGCAGCTAGCCAAGCACCGCAAGGTACACCTCTACTCGACCAACGTCCCCAGCAAAGTCGTCTTCAACGAGGAGGGCTTCTTAACACCAGGCGACAAAGTGACCACCTTCGACACACCGTTCTGCAAAGTGGGCATCGCCGTATGCTACGACATCGCGTTTCCGACCTTTGCCGAGCTGTACGAGCGGCTCGGCTGCAAGTTGCTGGTGTATCCGGGAGCGTTCAACATGTACAACGGTCCGCTGTACTGGGAGCTTTTGTCGAGGGCTAGGGCGGCCGACAACCAGGTCTACGTGGCGTCCGTGTCGCCCTCGAGAGACAAAGCGGCCTACTACGTCCACTGGGGACACAGCATGTTGGTCGATCCCACTGGGAAGGTGGTCCGGTCGGCTGGGGCTGATGAAGAGATCGTGCTTGCTGATGTCGATATAGATTATTTGGATTCGGTGAGGGACCAGATGTCCCGCACCAAACATAGAAGGAACGACCTGTACGAAGTAGTCGTCCCCAGGAACGCGGAAACTAACCTCTAGGCTTCCGATGGACTGCGACCTGCGATGTCGGCGCCGCAGTAACCTCTGCCAGCTTCTCTGCGGGTAGAAAGCCGGAGGAGTGTAAGTCGGGTGTTTTATGTGTTTGATCATAAAAATATTTTGTTTACCAGTGCTATTTTGTTTCCGTTGCCTGTAGTCCTCTGAACTTTAGTCAGTTCACAATGCTGTCGTTGTTTTAGCAACGTGCTTTCTTTTTATATTGATTTTCTGACTAATGCCACAGCTCTATTTCCCAAGAAATGGTATTTGGTGAGACAATATTGGTATATTTAAATTTCATCGAATACTAAAATCGCCTTTGGCCACCAGTCGCTCCTTGCAATGCTACTACAACGGGATTGTTAAGCCTTTGTAACTTTAGTTGACATGAACATCATTTGTCTTCAAGGAGTACAAATAAATTCATGATATATAGCTTTGAACTGCCAAGCGCTACTCTTCTTCAATTTGAACCCGGCTGATTGCTTCTTTGCATCCTACACTCTAAGAAACAAATTGGCCTCAAGGGACTAACGGCAGCATTTGGTCCTCTGAACTCCCAGTTCCTCCCCGAAAGGACCATCTGGCTCAAGCTAGGTACCCTGCCCAAAAGCTGGGAACTAACTGCGCTCGACTGAAACCAACCGATAGGCGTGCGCGAGCAAAAGCATCCATTAGTCCCCCTCAGACAGGGTGCATATGTATGGTTTAGTACCCGAAGGCAAACGGAAGGTTCGCCAGGAGGACGGATGATATTTCGCTTGTCTTGGGGATCGGCGAGACTCAGCCCAGCACGGCTGAAAGTGTTGACAAAACTCGGACGAAACTGGCGAATTTGTTTAATGTGCCACGAACGTTAAGACATTACATGGTAGAGCTTCACGCGTTGTGTGAATGCGAGTGAACGAATGTGTTGACTCGACTTCACCCAACTATCTCGTCAAAAATGATCTGTTGATATTCCACAAGTCCCATTTACGTAATTTGCTTTCGTGCAAAAAATGTGCATTTATCCAAACGCAACACCTCCAAATACTAACACTTCTTTCTTTTTGAAATGAAACTTAACAGTTTTGTAGAAGCCACGCTTTTAACACCGGAGTCTCGCGGTCAGAATAAATGGTCACTTCAATCGCTAAAACTGAGCATTCCCACCGGAATGCTCAGTTTTAGCGCGACTAGAATGCGATCGCGCGACTAGAATGCGATCTAGTCGCGCGATGCGACTAGATCGCATCACAAAAAAAAATTAGATGGTCACACCCGCGTGTGCGATGAGCGAGTCAAACGCCTTTGTTGGCGAGTCGTTTCTCGAAAACTCTCGCTCCGAACGCCGTTGATTGGCTCAGCCACTCCGCGACTAGATCGCATCGCAAAAAAGTCGGGTCGAGAAGCGACTGCTCAAATCGCGTCGCTTTTTGCCCGCGATGGTCGCTTTTGCGATGAAAATTATCGCACGACTAGATCGCATCGCCGGTGGGAACGCGCCTACGACTCTGCGTCTCCCCGTGACAAACCTTTCTGGGTAGTCCAATGTCGAACTCAAAATCCGCAACGACACACTTGATCAGAGCCGTATATGTAGAGAGTTTGGCCATTCGTTGGGAAGTATAGGAGACAAATGAAGCGGCGCCATTGGCCGAAAACGGGCTGGGCGTGTTCCAGGGCGTCTTCAGAAATTCGAATGTGACCAACCAGAAGCCGGAAATAATACCCTGGCGGTGGTCGCGAGAAACAAACCTGATAACTGCATTGAAGTAACTCTCGATGGCTGGATATATGGTACAGGTGATGTTTCAATCACACTCATCTAAAGTGATGGTGGAAGAGTGCGACTAGCGGAAAGATCGACACAATCCTTACGCCAAAGGCGGGGGCGGGGATCTTCCGTCAGAGCGGTCACACTCTGTTCGCGCAAAACAGAGTTGAGCGGCGCATTCGTTTCTTACATCTTTCTGCATGATCATGATGAAACAACACGTGCACCCTATTTTCAACCACAAGGAGTTACTACACTTCACTCTTACTCACTTATTAAAACCATATACGAACAGAGACCTTCGATGATTGATCGGCTCAGAACTGTTTCTCGCTACCACCGCTAGGGGATACTTTTCGGCTTCTGGTTGGTCAAGAGAGCATGCCAAGCCCTCTTTCCGAGTCTGCCGCACGCCCTGGCTCTGCCCGCGCCTCCCATTGACCAAACTCTCTACATATATGGCTCTGCACTTGATGCACGGCACGTTCCACTTAAAGAGCACATTCAGGGGCAATATCTAGACGCCTTCATGCCATCGTCGTCGCTGTTTCCGATAACAATCCAGATGAACGACGGAGAACGAACCACGCCCGGAACGTCACACCTGGCAGCACCCTACTAATACAAAACAGATGCGAACTAAAAAAAAAAAAGGAACAAAAACGCCACCGAGAGCTGAAAATGCTTAAGAGAGAGAGAGAGAGAAAAGTGTTTGCTTGTACGTCACTTAGCCGGCGTGTTGAAAGTGGAGACCTTCTCCCGTCCTTGGAGCTCTTCGGTGTCCGTTGTCGTGTGTAGTGGGAGCGGGAAAAGAGACTATCTTCTGCACGCACTGCCCTCTCCCCCCAATCCCCTACCTCGCATTCTTCACTCCTTGTTCGCGTGGGGGTTGGGCGTTGGTTGAGCAGATGGGGTCCGTCGGGAAAATGGGAAGTGTCTTTGTTTGAAAAGAATATGTTTTTAGTAAGTTGAAAGTCGAAATACAGCCTTCGTCGGAGGCTGGTCGCCTTGTGTCGTCTCCGATCATGGCGGGATCCGATTTGGATTCGCGGTGCTGAAGCACTGCACTTGATCTGTTCTGAAGTCACAAGTCAAGGGAACTCGATTAAGGTACGTATAAGTGCTTCTGTTTATGGTGTATTTATTAACTGCGGCTTCAGAAAGTGTTTTATTTTGAGTGCGTTCTCTAGCTTGCAAAGCGCGCGCCATGCTCTATTCTTTTTGGCACCATGGTTGCTGATTTTGTTATGCAGCACAGAGACCTCATATTCAATCGTATCGAGCGAAACGCCAGTTCTACCTATGGCTTATTTTTTTGTGTGTGTTTCGCAGACCCTGGCAGGATCGCTTGACTATAAACGCTTGTCCACACATGCAGCGGAGCGCTACAGGCATAGCGCTGACCTTGCGCTAAGCGCGTGGTGACGGGATCGGTCACCAGCTTTGTATCGCACCGACAAAGTTCTTGCTCATGGCAGACAAAAAGTAGCTCATGACACGTGAGCAGCGCTAAATCAGCGCTTCGCTACGCTTCGCTACGCTTCGCTACGCTTCGCTGCGTGTGAGAACCGGCATTAATGGAGACGTTTATTCGATTGTACACTAGACTACAGTGTTCTAGAGGGGGTTGTAGTGGCAAGAGCGGCGGCCGCTTTGTGAAGATTTTGCGCGTAGACGGCACCATAGACCTGCTGTTCTGTGCCCTAGGAGCGCGACCCCGTCAGCCCCATTATCAGCGCTGTTCGGCGCTTACTACTGTGGTTTGACGGAAGCTTTTGGTGGTGCGAAACAAATGCTAATGTTGTTCTGTATACTTTATTTTACCTTATAATGTACCGCAGGAAAGGCTACAAGCGCGAGCTCCTTGCTCTGGGGCACGTCTCGGCGGCACAAGCTCTCGTGACTTAAGAGCAGCTGCCAACGCTATGAGTTCGCGCTTCTAGCCTTCGCTGCGGTAGAGCATAAGGTGAAACGAAGTATAGTAAATTGTAGTTCTGCCTTTAGACTAATGCCTCTAGAGTGTGTGCTATCCTCTACTTGAAATATTGGCGTGTTTTGAGGGAGATTATTTAATTAATATCGACTCCCCCCCCCCCCCTCCAGTACTGACACATCGTTCAGCAACGCTATCACTTGGGCTGCAGGCTTAATAGCTGCGAAAGAAGTTCAACGGTGCTACATTTTGGAGAAGCGTACCGCGTCGCCCTCGTCGTCTTCTTCGTTCATCGCACACGTGCCATTAATTCTCCTAGGGCACAGAACTCCAGCGCCACTCGCGGTATCTACGTCGACCGTCTTCACGCGCTTTATTGTAAGCGGGCGCCGCTCTTGCCACTACACCCTCTAGAACACTGTAACTAGACTTTCGTGTTTATGGCGGAAGATCGTGCCGTCACTTTGAAGCATAGGTTGAGCACGCACGCGCTGGGTCTGTAATTCGCAGCGAATGGTCTACTAAAAATCTAATATTGCGCTGGTCTGCTGTCAACAGATCGCATGTTGGATGTGAACCATTCTAGCACTTATGCAGCCTATTTGTTATTTTATTTGGCGTGTGTTATAACTTATATCTCATATATTTGTCAAGCGATTGGGTATTTACGCTGCCCTGTTACTAATAATCCAAATTCCTTGCAAACAGGCAAGAAGCTGCCGGTGTCCCAGTAAACGGTGCTGGGACCACGACCGGCTTGGACAGACGTCCCAGTGTCCAAGCCATCGTCGACGCAAGTCACTCTTCGGAATTTGGCCTTATCGTGGATTCTACCGCCCAGGAACTTCGACTTCAGTCATCCTTGAATGCGATGTGTATCTACGAGGCAATAAAGCTACGTTTAACCTGAACTCCACAATTTCGTTTCGGAGATTTGTGGCTCGTTACCAAATGTAAAGGATAAACCTTTAGTCCCAGACGCCTAAATCCAAGGGTGCAACGTTTTGACCCAGGGGTCCAAGTGCAAGGGCCTAACAGTTAGTCCTCGGGGTTCATTTGAAACGGTGTAACAGTTAGTCTCAGGGGTCCAAGCGCAAGGGCCTAACAGTTCGTCTTCGAGATTCAATTGAAACGGTGTAACAGTTAATCCCAAAAGACCAAGTGTAAGGGCCAAACAGCTAGTCCTCGAGGTGTAGCTGAAACGGTGTAACAGGTAGTCCCAATGGTGCTAGTGCGAGGGACTAACTGACGGGGCGCAACAGTTGCTCCCGTTACAGTTGCTCCCCTAGGGGACTAATGGTGGTGGCC